GACTCCGTTTAATTTCTTTCACATCTTGCCTTCCAAACTTTCTATCAAATATACCTCATTTCTTTCCATCCTTCCTCTCATTTTTGTTTTTGTAATGCAAAGGTGAACATCCACAACATGCCCTGATGCATGACTGCTCTGAATGAGTTATCTCCACTTCCCTCCCCTTGGCTAGGTTTGAAAATTAAACATGAGCACACTAACTACTACAGGCAGGTGCATTTCACTGACTTGACTACCAGCCTTGCTTCTGATCTTTAAATTTGTTTTTATCACCTTTCTCTATCTAATACAAGTGTAAACAGAGAGTGGTTTTAGTTTTTGGGGTGAGAATGAAACTTGAGAACTCTGAATTTTGTCCTTAGATCACCACTGCTTTTTTGAATAGATGTGAGTAAATCTGTCCATCTCTCTGGGGTTCAGTATCTTCTCTAATGTCACAGGCTTCCAAGCACTTAATGCTCTAACAGGTATCTGAATTCCTCAAATAAAAGGCAGGACAGAAGTGAAAGCTATTTGAGTACCTACCTTACAAAGGTGTTCTGATTTGAGGCTTCATCAGTGTAAGACCCTCAGATGAAAAATTGCTTACTATCAGTATTCTGATTAGTTTTGATCAAGCAGATTTTTAAAATTACATAGCTCATACAGAAATCAGTGATCCAAGTAAGAATTTGAAAATTTTCACCAAAACCAGCCATAGCCTCTGTAAAAAAGAAGTTAACAGTAATTTTAAATACAGTGATATTTAAATGGTCTTTCATTGTTGATGCAGGCTTGGGTACCCGTGTGTCCACCGCTGCTTTGTGGGATTGCTCCCCACCAGCACCTCAGCAAGGGCACTCCATGAGGAGGGATCCACTTCTTGATGTCTTCACAGCCCACTATTCGCACTATCCCACATTCCAGAAGCTGTTATGGCACCTCTAATGCTGTTCCAACACTAGCTCCTACACCAGCTCATCTGATGTCACACAATCCCCAAATGATTACAGATTGCTTCCTGACTGACAGCACGGTAGCTGAGATAAAAGGAGGATGCTGGCCAGAAAGGGCCTTCAGTCTCCTCTGTTCCTCTGCCAGGATGCTGTGCGTGTACTGGCAGCACGGGTAGAACCCGGCAACAAAGGCCCAGATTTGGTAGCTGGCCCAGATTATACCAGAGCTGACCTTGCAAGAATCAAGTTAGTCCAAGTTTTAGCCGCAAGCAACAGCAATGGAACAGATGAGGAGATGCCTCCAGGTAAGGCTGATGCCAAGACCAACCCCATCCCATTACGAACAGCCCTGTGGAAAGGCTCCTCAGCCCAAGAAGCAACTTCACCATTGTCAGGCATTGGCCGAGCCCTTCTGAGAACCATCCTCTGCACCCCTGGAGGCACATGAGAGTCCAGTTTGCACGCAGGTGGACCAGCTTATGTGCGTAAGCATCACGAGTTGGCCACCAATATCCTCATAAATCACATGACATTATGCTCTTCCTTGTTCCTTCACTGCGCGCCAGCATTGCAAGCCAGATGTTGCAGAAGTGCTTGCAGGGTAATTCTGGCAGAATGTGACATGTCTTGTCAAAGATGCTCCTTAGTACAGGGGATCCATCAGCACCTACAGTATTATGGTGTTTTCCTGCTACAGTCAAGTACCATAGAGGACTAGAAAGCACAGAAAGTCAAAGAATTTGGTCTTACATATGCTGAGAAAAGGGGAAACACACTGTAACAATTTTTGCAGTGTTAATGATCTCATTCTTTGTAGTACAGCTATTTTACATCTCCAATACATTATCAGTGCTGCTCTGCACACTCTGCCATTGTGTATCCCACTGGATTTTCATACAAAAACAATTATTTTCCCTCAAAAGTGGCTTTTGTAATGAAAAAAAAAAAGAGACCTGAAATCTGAAAACTGCTTACTTTTACCTGCCTCAAACCTGTTTTAGAAATGGCAGAGGAAAAGGCAAGCAGGTGGCCCACAAAGTTGATATATACTGGTCCAGCCTAGAGAACTGGATTGATTTTGCTCTTTATGCACTTCTCAGTTAACATGTCAAGCCACTATGCCTCTTGTATATTTTTTATGCATAAGACTTGCTTTCATTCTAATAATTTTCTTCCATTTTTTTTTTTAATGCAGATCACGAACTTTTAAAGACAATAACCACCATATCTATTCTTCAAACTCCTTCCTCCCATCTTCCACTCATATTTTATGAAAATTTCACTTCACTGAAGGCATTCTGGGTATTTTGTATATAATGCAAGTGCAATGTTATTTTAATGAATGCTTATACAATACTGGTCCTTTACTTAAATTATGTAAAAAACAGGTGCATTGGACATGGGTAATAGGAAAATAAGTCTGTTTCAGGAGCCTAATTGCTATGCTGATGACTATAATAACAATATTGGCAGGCATTTACTGATTTTTTTGTGTAGGACCATTTTGCAGTGAAGAAATGCTGGAAACAGAGATTCCCAGTATTCTTCCACTAAAATTTGTTGGGGCTTTTTTATTTGTTCTAAATATGTGGGTCTCATTTACTTAGATCAGAGACAGCCAAATTTGCAGATAGACGCAGAAACCCCAGTAAATAGGCTTTCTTCTTTGCTGGTATTGCTCATAGTTCATCTTTAGCCCACATCTGTTTTTTGACCATTTTCTATTCATGTCCTGCATGTTCTGTTTGAAATACCTTACAACCCAGAGACATTCCACCATACACAGTTGATCTAATTCAGAAGGACTTTGCTACCACATACGCTCATGTGCCAATACTGAGCAAGGCAAAATAACGCCTGACAAACACGAGTATTGTTCTACCACAGCTCACACCTTCATCAAACAAAGCCAGTAGAAGATCCTGCTTGACTTCAGTGTGCTTTGGCTCAGACTTACAGAGCCTGGTGTTTAAAGGTATTCAGGTGCCTAAGGGACCAGGGAGGACCTTGTGGGTTTCCCAGTTATCATAAAAATATGACCTAAGTCCCAGCTGATTCACTAACAATTCTTTCAGCAGTGTTGTAACTGGCAATATAGATTACATTCATGCTTCATCCTTGGCGTTAGGTAATGTTGCAATGAGTATCAGTACAAACAACAAGAATCTATACCCATATAGGCGTCTTCTGAACTAACACCTTTAACTAAACAGTCTCCAGATAAACTAACAGAACCAGATTTACAGAAATACAAGGCTGGGCGTTGCATTCAACAGTTGTCTTATAATTCAAGGGCAGTTTCAACAACAGACGGCTTCCATTTTGCAGACTGTACTTCTGAATGCTGAGCCAAAACATGTATGTTTCACTGACATGTTATTAATCATCCTCTGAAACTGAAGCTTATTCACTATTAACAACAAATTAAATTACCAAGAGTATTGAGAAGTGCTCTATTCAACAATATTCTCTACTGTTCTTACTAGAAACTTGCTTCCGAAGTAACTATTTTACACATCTGTGGTAAATGGGAAATTTTATTTCAGTTTAACAAAAACTCTTTGTTGTGATGCACAATCATTATTAATGGATTACACTTTTAATCCACTTTGTCACATAAATAGAAAATGTATGGTTTGATAGGATTAAGCATTTATCAAAGTTTCTTTTTATTAGTAGTATTTTTCAAACACAGAGTTACTTTCTACAGTTTTTTTTTTTTGTTTTTTGTTTTTTTTTTTGTAATAGTAAGTGTTTAAACTTCTTCAAACTAAATGTTTATTTGGATTTTAGAGTCAGGCAATTGCTGCTTTCCCGACAGCTCAGTGACTCACTCATACTCCCATTAACTTCAATGGGAAGAGGAGCATGGCCTAAGAAAATAATCTGTAAAAAACCTAATCTATATTCTGTCAACCCAATAGACATTAAAGGAATTAATTAGAAATCTGAGAATTGAGGACAGTTGAAATGACATAGCATATAAAGATACCTTTTATAATTACCTTGACAATTTCTAATCACATTTAAATTCCTGTAAAGTTATCAAAACATTTGAGTAATCTGAGCTTGAGATGTTTTCTATTTACTCAGAATTCAAAGAGCTCCTTTCAAATGAAAGGTAGAAACAGCTTTGAAGAGAAATGACAAAGGAGTGAGGGAAACCCTAAACAAATCATACTTCTGATTTAGGTATTATGTCCTTAATGTAATCTTCCGAATTTCTCATATTTCTTACACACTTTCAACAACACGTTCAGTATTGATCTCAGAGCAAAATAGTCATCAAATATTTTTTCTGAATACTATTTTAAGCATAAATTGTAAAATGACTATGTATGTTTACCTGTTTGAAATGTATGGCTCTATAGCTTGCCTTTTAAGCTCTGCACTGTGACACTGGAAATTGTCTGCAACATTCGCAAGACTTCCTCATCCCCACTCCCACTGACAGAAAATATATACTATTCATTATTTTGTTACAAATGAAAGCACAGTTAATCACCTGCTTTAAAAACAAGGTGCTTGGACATTATTTAATTCCCTAAACCAGCAAACTATGTATTTTTATTTATACAAATTGGTCTCACCATTGTCATGTTTAAAACAAAACATACACTGAGAGCACCAGTGAATTTGTGTCTCTAAGTCCTTTCCTCTTCTATGCTTGTTTGCACTCAGTTAATTTTCAGAGTTTGACTTTTTTGTCTTTTCTCCCAGCCACAAGCCTACTAGCTTCAACAGGTTTGCCCATATCAATAAAGAAGGCAGGATCGGGCCCTTAATTTGTAATGGACCCCAAGTTGTTGCAAAACCAGCACATACTATTAAAAGCACTAGAAGTTAAAAAACAGAAACATAATAGGAATACAACTGTGAACTGAACTAGGTGGTCATCTCAATGCAATTCTATACAACCTCAAGATTTTGAGGGCGTCTCCAGGCTCTACAGCAATAAAAATACTAAATATCCCTACTGAGTACTCTACTGCTTTTAAAAATGCAAGGAAAAAAACCACTGAATGGAAAACATTAATAGGCCTCAACACAAAGACAAAAAGATTATTGATCCTAAAAGTAGTATTTTTTTTTAATCTGCTCAGTAATATGACCATAAAGAGAAATCCGCTGAGAAAGGATGACAGAGCTCTGCTGAGCAGTAAGTTTAAAAGGCAAAATATTTTTTAAAATGATTGCATAACATAGCTTACACAGTAAGAAAATAATAATAATTACAACAACAACAACATGGAAGAACTGAAGGATGTTTTCAAGACAGTGCTTTCAAGATCTAAAAGTGAAAAATCCTTACCCCACTCCACAGAAAACAAGCAGAGTACATGAGGAAAAAAATACACAGTCTGTGTTATGATAAACCTACTCTGTATCATGGTAGGGTTTAAGTGTTCTTAGTTGTTAGTCATCATGAAAATTGTTTTGAGAATAGCAAATACATTTGCAGAACTGACAGGTTAAGTTTGTACTTGATTTCCAGCAGTTTTGGGGAAGTTCCCGTCTAAGAATTCACATCATCACATGGTGAAGTAAGGTAAAGCACTTGACACTTTGGATTTTACTATTAGAAAGTCCCTCTGGAGAGACCACACGATGTGCAATATGTGTATTTTTAGATTTTGGGCATCAGGCGTCCTTCATATGACAGCGTGGGCTACATGTTGATCACACTGTACTGTCAGCCGAGAAACTTGCTGCGCGGCTTCAGGGCGCTCACTTCCCTCTCTGTGAAACAGCACTGCTTACTCAGACCAAAACAGGAGGAGAACCAAGCGCTGCGCAGCCAAGCGCGGCTTCTGCATTACATTACTTTGACGAGGAATTTTTCTGACCTTTAGGGCAGCCGATTTCCAGAGCGCGAGATGATCCCTCCTTTGCTCTTCAGCGCATTACTTCATGCAGCGAAGAGTGTTGCGAGTTCCTTTCCCTTCCCTTTACCCAGTCTTCTGCTAAATTAGTTAAATCAGATGAATCTGATTTTGTTTTTGTTTTGTTTTTTTTTTTCATGTTGACTAGGGAGAGCATAACACAGGACCCACCACGTTTCTAAACACGTAACGGCACTGCTTTTTTTTTTTTTTTTTTTGCTTTTGCTTTTGATTTGAAGTACTGGCACCCTGACCACAGACCCAGTAAAGGAATCCGTGCCCCCCGCAGATGCAAAGGAGGGACGGGCGCAGCGAGAGCCCGCCCAGGCCCCCCCCTCGCCGCAGGCAGCCCCCCCCCCCCCCCCGCCGCAGCCCCTGCTTTTCGGGGCGCCGCCCGTTGCCCAGCGGCGCATCCCCCGGCCAGGCCGGGGGGGGGGGAAGAGTGTCTGTGTGTGTGTGTGTGTGGGGGGGGGGGTCCCCGGCGGCCGCAGCCCGGCGGGGCGCGGCCGGTGCCGCCCGCGGGGCCCCCCCCCGCCCCGCTGCCTGCGCGCCGTGTGGCGGGACGGCGGGGGCGGGGGCACGGGGGGGGCCGGGCCAGCGCTGCCGCTGCCGCCGCCGCCGCCGCCGCCCCCGGCCCCGCCTCTCCCGCCGCAGCTCTCAGTCCTGGAGCGCCGCTCGGCTGCCAGAGGGAAGCCGCCACCTGCTCCGGTGCGGAGTCGCTCCTCGCTGCGCGCCGGGAAGGGAGAGCGGCCGCTCCGCCGCCCGCGCCCGGGAAGTTCCCGCTCCTCCCGCCGCCGGGGGAAAGCCGCCGCCGCCGCCGCTTCCCGGCCCCGGAGGGGGGCAAGAAGTCGCCTCCGCGCTCGGCTGCGAGAGGGAAGACACCCACCCCCCCCACACCCATTCCTCCTCCTCCCCCGCCGCGGGCGCGCCCGCCCCGCTCCGCCGCTGCCTCCCGGTCCCGCCGCGGGCAGGCGGGATGATGGAGCCCCCCGCCGCCGCCGCCGCCGCCGCCTGCGCCTCCTGCCGCCGCCGCCCGCTGCCGCCGCCGCCGCTGCTGCTGCTCTGCCTCCTGCTCGCAGCCCTCTGCCCGCCGACAGGTGAGCGCCCGCCCGCGGGAAGGGGCGACCGTCCCGGCCGCGCGTAACTTGGCGGAGGGCGGGCGGGCAGGCCGGGGCCGCCGGTGGCCGTGCCCGCCCGCCCTTCGCCGGCTCGCCCCGGCACCTACCGTGGGGTCTCTGCGCGGCAGTGCGCCGGAGGGGGGGGGTGCGTGTGTGTGTGTGTGTGTGGTGTCGCTCCCGGCCCTCGGTGCCCTCCGCACCCCGCTTCGCCTCGGCGGGGTGCGGGCGGGCGGGGGGCTGGTCCCCTCTTGCCCCCGGGGAAGGCGGCCGGCGGGGCGGGCTGGTGCCGCCTCTCCTGAGGGAAAGGCAGGAGCTGCCCCAGCGGTGAGGGGCGCAGCGGCGGTGCTCTCGCTTTTCCCCGTGGGGAGCGGCGGCGGGGTTCCCCCCCCCCCCACGGCGGGGGGGGGGGGGGGATGGCGCGTTGTCACCGGGCGCTGCCCCCGCGATAGGGGAGAGCCGCGCGGCGCCCGTTTCGCTTCCCGGTGCTGACGGGCGCGTCTCCGCGGGCAGCCGCCTCCAACTTCGGCGGTTCGGCCGCTTCTCCCCTCCCCGCCCCGCCTGCCGTGCCGCCCGTGGCCGTGCCCGCGGAGCGGGGGGCTGCCCGCCGCTCCCCCCCCGCTGCTCGGGGGCCGGTGGGTGCCCCGGGAGCGCCGTCGGCGGGGTGCCGCGGGAAGCGTGGGGGGGTGTGGGGGGCAGCCCCGCTGCCGGCCTCCCCGGGCGCGGGCAGCGCGGCGTGGGGTGAGGCTGCTCCGGTGGGTCGGGTTCGCGTGGGTAACTTCTCCCCGCGCCCCGCTCCGTGAAAACCCTCTCGGGGCGTTAGGGACGCGGGAAGGCGCGGGGAGTGGTAAATACCCTAATTGTTCTGGGAGTATTTTGGCCATGAGGCGTTTGTAGGCTGTATTTTGTAAATATTGAGCGTGGAAGTGAAGTCTGAGGGAAAAGCTGTGAAGTGAGGAGTTCTGCATTCAGCGCGGAGACCGTCTCATTATTCTTGTAGAAAGAGCGTCAGCCTGTGGTAACATTTTGTATTGCTTAAAGAAATGGCTCTGCCTGTATGTGCCTGCCTTTGCAACAGCGGAGGGTTTGCAGAAGTGTTGGGAGTTGGTGTTTTTTTCATTCCTGGCCTCTGCCTTGTTATTACGTGCTCTCCGGTTAACCATTTACAGGCAGCACCTTCTCATCGAAACGGAAGATAAGAACAGACCTTTTTCACAAGATGTGGTTATGTTTATTTTGTACAAGCTCTAGCTTAAGTAGAAAACGAGCTATAGCAGTAAAGTAAGGCTGCCGGTGCTTTAATTTCAATTAAATAGTCAAAAAGCTCTGAGCAGAACCAAAAGCAGTGTTGGAACCATAAGCAATATGTCAGGCTGTTCTGCTAGGCGTTTGCTTTGGCAAATACAGTGTATAATCACTGCAGGACATAAAAAAATATCAGTCTCAGCGGCAGAGCTTACAAAGAAAACTGGTTTCTGTGATGTAGAGAAAATCTTCAGGAAAGATTGTTCATTTTATGAAATCTTAAAGGCATGGGGAGTATCCAGAGAGATAAGCACCTCAGCTTCTGAGAAGCAAGACTTGGCCCCTGTGGAGAGATTTATCCCAGTAAATATGAAATGATCTTGCTGATTGTGTGACTGTCTGCATTTTCCCATGGAAGGAAACGTGAAACCATAAAATATTTTATCTCAAGGGTTGTGTTGATGGAGGTGTATAAAAAGATGTGACTTGACCACCTATGGACTAAATAGGTTGGAGGTAGAACCATTTGCCTAGTTCTTTCTGCTCTTCATTTCTTCCTTGCCCCCTCAAGGAGAAGCTCAGGCTAACTGTGTAAGCAAATGCATGTGGGGAGAAGCCAGCCCCACCTCACATTAGAAACTTCACTGCAGTACTGAAAATGCCTGAAAATCCCAATATAAGATTTAAGACTCTAGCTCTTTGTTTATTCTGAGGAGTATAAAAGATACTTAAATACAAAAATGTCTATAAAGAGGTCTTGATACTACTGTAGATTTAGCACGGAGAAAGAAATGTGATCTCAGCTATTTTAGGTGATAGATAATTTGCTATCATCTACATCAAATTCTGGATTTATTACTCTATCATGGTGCTTGGCTTTTGGGAGTTCCATTTCAGGTTTGCATATAGAAAGCAATAGATAAGATATTAAAAGCATATTAAAAGTTGATATGCATCAGGTGTAGATATCTCCAGTGATATTGAAGCTGACTGGGGACTCCTATGAGAAATTCTGAGTTTCTTTCTTCACAGAATATACTTCCTACTTAGGAGGATTAAAAAAAAAAAGGGAAGGGGATCCAAGTCTGCATTTGGTACTAGGAGACTAGGTCAGACTAAATGAGAACACCAATTGAAATCTTACAGTTTTCTACAGGAAATAACTATATGTGAAAAGAAGGTCAGCTCTTAATCAGGAGCTCATAATGACCTTTGTAAAGCTTCCCCCTCCCCCTGCTTTCTGGTAAATTACAACTGTGAAACTCAGTCTGTCATAGTATGTTTTATTACTAATGACTTGTTACATATTGCTTTATTGCCTCTGGGTAGTGAGACTGTAATATGTATTCTTTTCATTCACATGACATGAGCTTACTGTGTTCTCATTCCTGACAATGTTTTTTTTTCTTGGTATATCTGGTGTGACATTGATCTAGGGAAACTGGTTTTCTGTATTAAGGTCTGAAGTTTGCATGGGTTTTCTAAAACTGAAGTCAGGAAACATATGCACCGTGTGTATGTGTGTATATATATATTTTTTTTTTATATGCTTTGTGTCTGAGGTCCAGTACACAGGCAGCAAAACCAGACTCAAGTGAGCTATAAGTTGTTAAATTGTTTGCTTTAGGGAGTGTTTGATATATTTAAAAATCTTTTTTTTTTTTTTTTTCCTTTCCTTTTGGTGTGAATATGCTAGAAAAGTATCTCAGCATAAATTATTTTTCTTCTTGTCCTCTCCCTTTCTGTGTTGGGTTTCTAGCGCTTCTCATAAAGCAGAGGGCAACGACAGAAATCATCCTGGTCTGTAAATCTCTTAAATTTCAGCCCATTGATTTTTACTGGAGAAAATATATGTTGTTATGTTCATGAAATAAATATCTCTGTCATAGGTCATATTTAATTCCAAGATATCTTATTTCTACTTTCCAGCCTGTGTAAGAGTAATACCTTTCCTTGCAGGACCATCCATTCTGCTTCCTGAAAACAACCTAGGATGCTAATGTGTAATCCGAGGGTAAATAGTTTCAACTGTCTTTGTAGTAAAAGTCAAGCCATTTGTTGGTTTAATTACAGCAGAAAGTTTTGGGGAACAGAATCTCTAAATATTTATGTAAGGTGACACGTGAAGGGGAAAATAAAGAAGATAGCATTAAAAGTTTTACATAATGCAAATTACATCTGTGTGATCAGGATAAACCTGTCTTCTCTTTTTGTCTTACAGATATCCTAATTCTGTAGCATGACTTGTAGTCTTAAATTATAAGAATTCTCACTGCAGATTTCCGTGATGTCATATCTGATTACATATGGTGCAGAAAGATCTCATACAAAGTCAAGCATTACTGTTGTGGCAATGATTTTAATGTGTTAGCCAGTCATACCACATCACACCACCATGGGCTCTTCTTAGGTTCCTACCACAGGGACTTTCTGGAGAGTATTTTTTGTTGAAGTGGTTTTGGATGGGTTGAGTGAAAAGAAAGCAGATTGCTGAGTAGGAAATGGTTAAGGAGGAGCCAGGCCTACCTGTACATGCTTTGAGCCTATTAACACTTGAGAGACTGAACGTGCTAACTTTGTAGGAGCTATAATTTGTTAATTGGATATCCTAAGAGTAGATGATCAATATTCAGTTTCCCATTTTTGTGACCTGTGCTACGTGACCATCAGCAGGATGGTCACAGATAAACTGGCCCAAGGTCTAGTCTGCAGGGCTTGTTCCACTGATGTTTCATACATGGAAGGTGGTGGTTTTCTAATACTACCATGTTGATTGTGGGAACTCTTTTTTTTTTTGCATCACTAATCGTATGGTTTTTTAGTATGGTCTTATTTAGTTCTTTTTTTGTATGCCTAGTTTAGACTTTACATACTGTTTTTTGAGAGATACTACCATATCTGAAACATAATCTTCAGGCTGGCTGTTCAGTGGTCCTCAAGGTTCCTCCAGGTTGGCTAGCGTATAGCTTTTTTCCTCTGGTAATACAATCATTTTTATTAGAAAATGCACGTAAACTGCAAGGCCACACTTGCAAGAGAACTGAGGACCTGTTGTAATGTGCTGATTTCTCTCGAGTTCTCTGCTTTCAAGAAAAATAGTTACACTTCCATGCACTGATGCTCAAACGAGAGACTCTTCAAGAATGGTAAATGCTGTAGGGTGATAATTAGAATTGACTTGAGCAGAACATGATTTTTCCAGGAAAAACTGAATATTAACAACTCCCCTTGATTTGAAATTGTTGAGCGTTATCTCCCCTGAAGACAAGGCTTTGACCTATACGTTCTTTATTTTGGTATCTTTTCTTTAATAAGAGCAGGATGAATATTAAAGGAGGCTGTACATTCCTGTCTTTAATATGCTTGAAAATTAATCTCATCTTTTAGAGAGGAGATTGCAGTACAACAAGTATGCTGACAGTCCACTACTGGCAGCGATTGGATCAAGTTTCTTCCTTTCTTTTTTGGTTCTCTTTTGTTTTTCTTCTTCCTCAATGTGTTTTACTGAGAATGGCTTGAATCACTGTCAGTCCTACATCAGTAGATGTTAATCTACTCCTCTGAAGTGAAGGTTCTTAAACTAGGCAGATATTCCTCAAAAGATTAAATTGCTTTTCTTACCGTGCATATAGGTCTCCAGAAAGGCAAATAAATATTTACTTATTAAAACAACTGCTGCTTCTACTGGACTGGTATTTATGTTGTTGATAAGAAATATGCCTCTTCTGGGAGTTAAA